AGATAATGATGATATAACTTAAAATAAGACAAAATATATGACAAAAACTACTAAAAGAAAATCACATTTAAGTGATAAAAGTTAAAAAAACAAACAAACAAACTTCAGTGGCAACACGTGATAGGTCATTTTCAATTATGAACATCATAAAAAACAAGCTTAGGAATAAGATAAAAAATTATTTTCTTACTGATTAAATAGTTACTTATATTGAAAAAGAGATTGCAGAAAAGTTTAACAGAAACTCAATTATTGACGAATTTTATAACATGAAAGAACGTCGTGTTTAATTTTAATAAATTACAAAAAGTATGTTACATGTATATTTTTTTAATTTAAATTATATATATATATATATATATATATGAACATGTTAGCTTTTTCTAATTTCTACCTCCTAGTAATTTAATTCTAAATCCATCCCTGTTGGTGGTAACCTAAAAAATATAAATGAGTGTAATATATGAGAGACATATATAAGTTCACGATTTATTAGTGTCAATAATTAAAGAACAACTTTACTACAATTTATTTATTATTTTTAATTATTAATTAAAGAACCTGATTCCGCACATACCTAGACCAGGCTAAAGTAGATCATATATAAAAGATTTTGCCTAATTTGCCTACTGAAATTTGCACCCATAAAAATTATATATTAATCAGGTTGTTCGAGTATCAATTGTTGAATATAATTAAAATTCCAAGGCTTTGATAAGTTTGGTGGGCAGGGGGTCTAATCTTGGAAATTTGATGATGCAATGTCTAATCGCTACAAGGCAAAGTAATAGGATGATTCTCTAATAGGGAAAGTAATCTGAGAATAAGACAATATGTTATTTTGCTTTTGGCATTCTTCATCTTAAGATGTTTACAGAGATAATCGAATGCTAATTAATAATTAATTAAAAGATATCCAAAAAATTAAAAATCAAATCAATGGACTAATGAAGTACCAACCATCCATAAGTTCAGATTGACCTTTGATGCCAACAGGCAAACATCCTCTATTATTGATAATGCCACAGAATTTGACGGCACTTATAAAATATACTTTTACAGTCAAAGAATCAGATGCATATGGCCACCACCCCAATTTGGAATTGTTCCGTTTTCATGATATATATATATATATATAGATTAATCTGTTCAAACTATTCTTTAAATAGTCGGTTGTTTGCTCTCTCAGTATCTCCAACAAAGATGATTAATTGTTAGTGGTATAATTATTTATGGTTTGTTCCCTCAAACATTATCTAACAAGCATGAAGATCTTAAACAGATGCATCTCGAGTTCAATTGCTTATATACAAAAAAAAAAAATTAATTAATGAACAAAGTAGAGAGTAAATTTGAATTTTAGAATTTGATTTTTTAAACGAGATGATAGTCATTAAATTAAATTTAAATCATATATATATGAAAAATTCAAATTAAAAACATGTTAAAATTTCAAATCTCTTGCAATAAGACGAGCAGTCTATATATAGTTAACGCAAGAGGGTGCTTTTTCCCATAAAAAGAAATCTTGTGAAAAATTGCTTGAGCAATCAAAAATTGCTTTGCGCCTAAGCCACGCCTGTCTAACTTAGCATTAGGAGTGCTTATTATGATGAACGACCACTCACACTGTGGTCAGGACACGTTTATAGTGTGGGCTAACACATGGTGTGGCTCCAAGGTTTTTATGAGCCTCATGATTGCTGCACATAGTATAGAATGAAATGATATTGACTGATGATTGAAGTTAAAACTCTTGACAGGTTTTTCCCCTGGTGATCAGCTACCTGCAAAAGAAAAGAATCATGCACACTCTTGCGTATACCACAGAACCAGAAAGGAAATGCTTCCAATGGGTGAAAGGGCACAAAAAGAGATGCATCTCTTGGTAGGCTGTAATGTCCAAACCTGTCTTTTTCTGTTCACTCTTTATTAGATATGAGTTGGATGAAAAGAAATAATGGAATGCAATCCCAATAAATCAGAAGTTTAGGCACATTATTGCATGCGCCGACAGCAAAGAAGACCGGAGCAGGATGTAATTATCAACATAATTTAAGAGAGGAGATGACTGATTTTGACTGTAAATCATGGAGCCGCTTTGATCTTTTCAACTCTCAACATATCAGTATTGTATACTTCGATCATTTTTACTAGTTTTTATCTCTTTAAAAATCAGACTCCTTTTGGAACTTCTGAACGCTTGAAAGTTGAATTCAAAGCAAAGCTAATATCATTCCTTTCAAAGACAGTGGACATAAACAGATAAAGAGAGTTGGTCTTGCTATACCAGAAGAGAATTATTCCCCTGTCCAGAATAGAGGTTTAACAATGTGCATAAATTGTAAAAGATAAGGATCCCATGTTTTCCTACTTTAAAGATAAATTAATTTTATTATTTCCTTTCTGATATATTAATTTTTGTGTACAGAATTATACCAAACTTCATCTACTAAGCATTCTTTTGACAAGAACAAAAAGAAAAAGCATTGAGTCTGTCTTTGTGGTAAGTATTTAATTATTCATCATGATGTCTTGCCAAATTCATGTTTATATCATGATGGTCAATTAGTTGGTTTACACCAAGCCTTGCCTCAAGGAGCTGTTTAAAACTGTCAATTGTCCAATTCATGTAACTTGAACAAAGCACAGAGGGTTCTTGCTTCAGGCTTCTCCACTATGAAGTTCCATGTGATTGAGCTTCCCAATGGAAAGAACTCTCAACAAAACGCTTCCACTAAGGTTTTCCTGTTAACCCTCTCCCTGATTCTCATCAGCTCGATCCCTTTATGTCTGCTGAAAAGTTCACATTCGCCGTTGCCATTTCCCAAGATTAATATTAGTAGCCTGAGAAGCATAGAGTTGGAGAAGAAATGTGATGTATTTAACGGAAAATGGGTGCCCCATCCGCAGGGTCCCTACTACACTAACGAAACTTGCCGCCTGATTATTGATCAGCAAAACTGCATGAAGTTTGGGAGGCCTGACTCAGAGTTCATGAAATGGAGGTGGAAGCCAGATGACTGTGAGCTGCCTCTCTTTGATGCAGTTCAGTTCTTAGAGATTGTCAGAGGGAAGTCGATGGCCTTTGTTGGGGATTCAGTAGGAAGGAACCAAATGCAATCATTGCTGTGCCTCTTAGCTGATGTAAGTGCTTAACCATTAATTGCCTCCATCTATTGCATAAAATTCTTCACATAATTATCTCCATAATCTATTGGTTGATATGTTTCAAGCCATGCGTAAAACAACTGTAACTACATTTGGTTTGCTAGGAATAAAAGGTATACGTATTCATCACAAGAAGAGTAAAAGATTCAGAAAGCACCCAAAGCTGCAAGGAATAAGATCTAAACTATGTTAGCTGCTTCACATTTATGCATGTATTTACTTTCTGAAGTATGCTTTCGCATCTGATAAAGTAATTAGCCCTATTCTGTGTTTTTTCAGGTAGCATATCCAGAAGATATTTCTCATAAATATTCATCAGACATAGATTATTTCAAGCGTTGGTTCTATGCTGATTACCAGTTCACCCTAGCAGCATTTTGGTCACCGTTCTTGGTTAAATCCAGAGATGCAGACCCTGATGGTCATACCTACAATAGCCTCATGAACGTTTACTTAGATGAAGCTGATGAAGCATGGGCAAATCAGATTGAAAATTTTGACTATGTGATTATATCAGCAGGGCAATGGTTCTTCCGCCCGCTGTTTTTCTACGAGAAGGGCGAACTTGTTGGATGTCACAAGTGCAGTGAAAACAACATCACAAGCGTTACCAGGTACTATGGATACAAAATGGCCTTCAGAACAGCTTTCAGAACTCTTCTTGGCCTTAAAAATTACAAGGGTACTACATTTTTAAGGACATTCTCGGCGTCCCACTTTGAGAATGGAGATTGGGATAAGGGTGGGAATTGTGTTAGAACAACACCCTTTACAAGCCAGGAAATGAAGTTAGAAGAGTATAACTTGGAGTTCTACCTGACACAAGCAGAGGAACTAAGAAAAGCAGAGGAAGAAGGGAAGAAAATCGGTTTAACATTTGGACTGCTAAACACTACTGAGATTATGTGGCTGAGACCAGATGGACATCCAAACAGTTATGGACACTCGATGAATAGGAATGCAACAGTAAATGACTGTGTTCACTGGTGCTTGCCAGGCCCCATTGACACCTGGAATGAGTTTTTGCTCTATTTGATGAAGAGGGAAGTTCTCATACGGTTAAAAGGGAAGTTGATGAAGAATGCCTGATCAAACTTGCATTCAAATTGTTGTGAAGCATGCCCTCAGCTCTATTTATTGATTCTTTTTCCGTTGTAAAAAATACATGGTTTCATCATCTCCTATACCTAAACATTTGTGGATTTGAGAGTATATTTGGAAACATATCTGTAAAAGTTTATTGCTTCATAAAACATATAAAAATGTATCTGGTTGAAAATTGGCTCTGTCAGAATGCATTATTAGTGCTCCTAACACTCAGAAAATCATTACAACTTCTCTTCCACCTCCGGAATTGTTAGTCCTCGGAAAGAAACAGTCAGAGAAAGCAGGACATGGAGATGAGGACACTGACTTCGGTAAATACTTGGTAGAAGAAATCATTAAGCCAATAAAAGATCAATCCCTTTTTGTCCCAACTGTTCTGTTGAGATTTGGAAGTTTCTCAGGAACCTTCAATAATCTCCTAGGCCAAGGTGGTCTCATGAGTGCAACCAGGAAACCTTATGGGAGCAACGGATCCAATGCCACAGAAGAATCCCATTATTGTTGTATGTCTATGATTTTAACTTTACTTTTTGTAATTTGTCTTTTAACTTTTTTATTTATTCTTGTTTATTCATTTTTTATCCAAAAAAAAAAAGTACCGTCCAAACAAATTCTCAGTGAATTTCAAGATACTTTAACATCACAATTTTAGTTGGAACTTTATAAAACATCATTCTGTACAGCTGTTAATGAGCAGATATACAAGGTTAACAGAGCAAATGTGGGAGTAACTATAAACTTGGAAAAGATGCAATGCAGAACACTGTGTTATGTACACAAATTGTAGGGTACAATTCAGTAACATTTATATTACAGTGGAAAGAATACATATTTTTCGGTATGCAAAGGACATCCTCAGATGTTCTTCAAAATGAAATCTTGATGAAGACCAGGACGTGCAAAGCTAAAATGTAGATCACAAAAGCCGACCTGAGAAGCATGTGTCTCTGCTGATTCTCACTCCGGCCACCACTGTAATAAGGAAGCTTGTGATGAGCATCAACAGAAAAATCGGAGGAAGATCCCTTATCAGAACCACCTCTTCCAAATCGATTCCTAGCAGTATTGACCTCTGCATTACTAATTTCCAGCTTTGTCCACAAGCCATTCAACCTCTCTAGTTCCTTCTCTTTCAAATGAATTTCACTGACAAGACCTTCTGCTTGTGCCTAACAGAAAACATTCAAAATGTTCCTTCAGAAGATGACATCATAAAAGAAGCCTATACCAACACCAGGATGACATTTAAAACATTTCTTTTTTCTGACAATGACAATATAAAAAAGATAAATGGTTGATGTAGAACAGATATTACAGGGATACAGCTATGCAAACCCAAAAATTCAATGTCCAAGTGCCTCAGCTATGATCATGAGTTGTGAGCAGCCCACTTGGGGTATATGATCGATGGCTGAAAGCTTGGGAGTGAATCTCAGGTCAGAAGTAAACGTTTTAGAGCATATAGTTGGATCCATTTTAAATTATAGGACAAGTTAAATAACTGACCTGTTTTGCAGCTAGTTGCTCAATTAGGCTGTGTAGTTGTTTGTCCAACGCCTTCTCTCTTTGTGCTGCAAAACAGAAATTGGTTAGTGTAAGCAAAGTTTAACTCTGGGTTCATTTCTTCCCCAACCATCCTTTTTTTCTCTTTTTGTCCCTTCCTGGCATGAGCCAGAAAAATGTAAAGTTCTAATAAAGAAAGAAACAAATAATAAAATGTATCTCTGCACGCAGGAAGAATGCTTTAAAAGGAGGGAAGTCCTATGCTTCCATAATGCATACCATCACAAGAAAGCTATTCAACAGATTTTCCTTCTGTTGCTGCTTCTTCTCTATTTACACATTAGAAGAATCACATTTGACCAAAGTGACAATAAAAAAACTGGGAGCATTTCAAATTCTGATAATGATTTAAAGTTTATACATTTTTTCTCTCAAAACGTTACTAACATCCCACTAAAACTTTAAATCAAGAATCAAAACGAACTTTCAACTTGAGCACAGAAAACCAAACTCTGGTATCTCTTAGAAACAGTGGATTCTTACTTGCAATCTAGAAACAAATGAACAACAGGACACCAGAAATACAGTTTTTTGCAACTCCATTTATTACATCTTTCACCTAGTTGTTACTCTTTTTCTTTTTTTTTTTGGCTTAAATCCAACATCCAATTAAGGATCTAGTTTTAATTTTCAAAAGGAAATCCTTTAAAAGCCAGAAACGAAAAGAAGAAAAGAAACAATAACAATAATGCAAGACTATTTAACAAGAAATTTAATCACATACTAAAGAAGAGATAACTGAAAGAATATCATGATATAACCAAGGTAGAAGATTGTCTTATTGCCATGCATATAAAATGACTGTTTGGGAGTTAATAAAGCAAGCACTAAAAGTAGGTCTATGATCTAAGATACCTAGAGAAGGCTGTTTCAATGCTTTGTTCTGAATATTTTCCCATTTATTCTCTAAATCTTGAACTGTCTCTTCAATTGAGCTCTGAGAATGTTATGGATCCTTTAATCAGCAAAGGCAGCAGCAGCTACTCAACTAACGTAATAAGGGGGAAAATAGAAAAACAGATAGCATAGTTAAAATCAAAAGAGGAGATAAAATGCACCAATTCTTTTTTCTTCTTCTCTAACTTGTCTAGCATCGCAGATTTTGAAGCTTCTATGCTGGCTTCATTTTCAGCACTCACTGTAGATTCAACCACAGAGTCAGCAGACTTTCCAGAATGACTAACACCCAATGCAGCCTGTGCATTTGCCAGTTCAGCTTTTAGACTTTTCTCAATGTCGTCCATCTCCTATGAAAAATAGAAAAATGGAGTGAGTCTTCAAGCAATGCCAAGAAGATCTAAGAAAATATAAGAAAAGTGATTACTCTGGCTTCCTCTGGCTTCCATTTTCAACTAGCATCACTTTATAAAGTACTTAAATTAAAGTTTTAGAAACAGCATATCCACCCAGGTGAACTGTGAACATCCTTCCCAAAATACAGGTTCTTTAACATGAGCATGTATCATAAGAAATCCTATAAACATATATAAGCCTTAAGTGTAATTTGATGAACACTATAGAAGTCATGAAACCAGCATGTAGAACAAGTTCTGGGACCTTCACCCTGACCTTTAACTTTGAACGAAGTGTATCTACTTCCTGCACTTTCTCTTGCATTTTATTCTCACAATTTGATATAGCCTTTTCATATGCCGCGTTTTCTTGTTGCAGTGTCTCCTCCCTCGTTTGGGCCTGGTCATAAGAAGTGGTGGCAACTATTAGTAGGGAAAAAATAAATATTTTCCACAGATATAGTGTTTTGTCAAGACAAAAACTCTTCCACAGAGCAAAACACGCTCAGAAGTAAATAATTAACCTCAAAATCAGCACTAAAAAAATGCTATTGGATTGCTAACTCTTTTCTTCACCGTATGTGCATCATCCTCTGTCTGAGATAAGATCACAAGCTATGAAATGAAAATTTCAAAAGCAGCCTGTCTTTTTAATTTTTAAGTGTCACAACTCACAAGCTACAGCAATTGCCAGAAAACCTAAAGATTTATGCCACAATTAGCATTTAGCTATAGACAAAGTTCAAATTTAACGTTTCAAATGAAGATAGTTCTTTTACAAAAATAAAAGACTTGTGCTTGATAACATCCAAACTGATACTAATCACTTATTTCACCATACACGAAAAATAACTTTATCTGCCCTAACAGCGTATCCCTTAGCCCGCAGTATAGTATTTAAGCACAAATCTTCACCTTACAAACTAAATTCTTCAAGAAAAAACAATTTCATGGACCAAAAGAAATGCTAGAAAACAGCATAAATTGTGCACAAAGAATTCAATCACAATGGAAAGAGAGAATGCACTGCACATAATAAGTATAACCAAATTCAAAGAGCCACACCAAGAAAAGAAAGAAAAGTGCATTATACAGACGATGAAATATATATTTAAAAGACAACTTCAGAAATTGGATGAACTTTGAAAGGGAAAAAGCAGCATTACACGCACGAAACAAAAACCATGAAAAAATATTCACCATTCATGTTACAAAGAACAGAGTACCGAGATGAGAAACGATGAACCAAGTACAGAAAGGAAAACCTGCTCACGAGTCGCGGAGTGAGCGTTGAGTTGGAGAGCGAGGGCGGCATTAGAAGCGAGGGAGTGGGCGTGGAGATGAGGGAGGCGTTGGGAGATGTCAGGAGGAGGTAGCCTGAGGCGTAGATCTTGGATCAGACGGGTGAGAGAGGAAGCCTTCCGCTCCAATTCTTGCACGTACTTCTGCTGGTCTGGAGAGAAAATTAGT